GTAGTATTTTCAGTTTTATCATGAAATTAGCTTTTATCAGTACTATTCAAATGTTGTGCACCCAATAGAATTGTTCGTCGTCTTTTAAAAATGCCTGTCATAAGGTATTTTCGGCCTGTTCTGCAAATGGTAGTAGCTAGTTTATTGTACTGGATTCTAGGGGTCATTTAGTTTCGATTGAAAGTCTCTTCGATTTCAGAGTTCGTCAGTGTTTTTTATGGTGTATATGGTCTTTCTTGCCTTTTTACTGCCTGGTATCTGTTATTTTTATTTTATGCTTTTCGTTCCTTTGGAGTGTTTGGTTGTTTTGGATCGTTCACTGTTCGAGTTGTTAAATAAATGACATAAAACAGCGTAAAGACTTGGACTATTGAGAGGGAAACTAGAGGTCAGATCATATTAGAAGATATTCTGAACTTGGATAATTGGACACGTAGTGGACATAACGATCGTTTCAAAATGTTGTTGTTATTGTTATTATTTGTCTCCATCATTTTTAAAAAAAATCGCTTTTCTCTTCGAATACTGGACCAATTGCTTTGAAATTTCCAGTGGTTGAAGATAAAATTTTTCCCCAGAAGGCTATTACTTTTATTCATTTTAAATATTTCTGTTAGCTCTGTGAGATTTGTTTTTGTTTGCTATGACGTCATTAAACGTTCTGCGGAAATCGGACGCCATTTTGTGTCCTACTGTACTGCTTCGCTTGGTGTGAATATATTTGTAGACTGTGATCTGACGGTACGGTAAACCGTACTGTGAACAGACGTGTCCATATATTTGGGCGTAGCTGTCTTGTTATTTCATACATTGCCGGTACGCTACACTAAGATGAATGCACATGCAAAATTTGGAGCAGATTGAACCTCGCTTTCGTGAGATATCTCGTGCATCTAACACACAGACATACAGACAAATACCTATCAACATACTTACCGATCAAGATCGACAAGTAACGAGCTGATTCTAGAGTTCGTTACACTGTTATATAAACCAACTTTGGAATTGGCATAATTCATGCATTTCATGTGATCATCTACCACGTAATACCACTGGTAGCTGTAAATATTTGAGTACTGGAAACTGGAGCATAGATTAGGGATGTGTGCCGGCGTATAAAAAATTAGTAACGGGGATGGAGAGATGTACCACGGAAATGTTATGGCAAGAATAATGATCCAGTCCGGATATAATGCTGAACAGTGACACTCAATAGGAGTGAATGATACCAATGTACCAGGTAAACGTGGAATCCCAGTACGGGTATCTATAGATCAGCGGTTCTCAACCTGGGGTTCGCGAACCCCCAGGGGTTCAAGAAAAGATTTCCAGGGGTACTTGGACGGCAGTCGAGGTTTTGTGTGTTGCTGTTTTTTAATATCCTTCATTACTACCAGAGGAAAATGCGTGTTGATTGAAACTAGATGCCAATTGAAACGTAGATTTTTCGTGATGTTGCGTTTTTGTGACTTGGCAGAAAAAAGGTTGAGAACCCCTGATAGATGAAGCAGTCTTCCAAATTTTTATTCAAAACATTATAATAAAAAATGTAAAAAAAACATGACAGTGTTGCATGCTGGGCATTACTTATCTATCTCATATATGCCGATTTTATCAATTTGAGTGAGTGAGTGAGTTTATTTCAATTTTCCAATATTATACAACAAAACAATACATGGCAAAACAAACAAATGTACGGAAAATCAGGAAAGTGGGCAAAATTTAATAAAGATTTAAGACGAGCTGGTGCACGTGCCCACTTAACCCAAACAGCAAACAATACATTGAAGTAAATTTAAAAAAAAAGAGACACGAAAGATTAATTCGGGCATAAACACTTGGGTGTGGATGTGGAGTTTTAACATGGGGCGTACTTTCTACTATATCTGTACATGGAAATACCTAGAATTGTAACCTACAACAAACAAGTGATGCGCAATATGTGATAAAATTAATGTGATTACGAACGCACTCAACTAATAATCTACTGGACGATAAACAACAATAATAAAAGCACCATAAAAGAAACCAACAACAAACGAAGTAAAATATGACAAGAGCATTCCACGCCCTGGCGTTCCGCCTTCAGTTGTGCTTTGTGTAAGTGTAAGTAGTCTTTTTTATGGAATTCATCATCAAATATTCGTTACATTTGACTGTTTATATTATCCCCAGCTTCGATCAATGTCCAATCAGCATAGTTTTTCATGGCTTTTGACTATCTTCATCATTTCATCACATTCCACACGTTATCTTTATATTGGATTAAATTAGTCAATATTATCTTAAGTGTTTCAAAAGTATCACAGCCCGAAAGTTCAATATATTCGCGTATTTCCAGGTTTGTTTATTTCTTACTCGTTTGTCTAGGTTTATGTGTGTTTGAAATTTTTTTATGTGTCGGTGAGCGGACATATAATATTTCTCATGTTTTAAAATTTTTCAAGGCCTTTCTAGCTCTCCAGAATATTCCCCAATTTTAACTTGTGTGTATTACGGAGTTTTCAAAATAAACTATCTGCCACCATCAACGACTAACATACCGCCACCATTGAACAAAATCACTGTCCGATCACTCAATTACCACCGCGCCTGCAGCGAAGCAGCAGGTTGTCCAGCAACTGCCAATTTGCAATATATACTTTACTTTTGTAACCTGCACTTTATAATCTGTGTGAAATTTCTGTCGTATGACAATAGCCGATGGTCAGTCTAGCTCGGGAGTATGCACTTCTTGAGTTCTGGGTGTATATACATTTCTACGATCTTTTTTTTTGTACCGCACATTTGCGTATAAATAAAAACAACACAACGAATTCTTCATAAACGTAGAAATTAAAAAACTTCTAATTTCGGGATTTGCCAAATCTATTTGATACGTCTGACTTCTTAGGACGCACTGTAAAATAACGAAGATGTGTCCCGGTCTGGCATGTTGTCTACAACTTATAGTGACCAATAATCGCAAGAGATCGGACTCATGTTCGAGATCGTTATAAAGCCTCCTATGAGCAAGGGCGATCTCAGGAGAGCGAGTATTCACGTCAGTACGCAGTTTCTTCGACGTGAATCGGTACTCCCGTAGCATGTGTACCAGGTTAGGTTAGGTAGGGTTGCCATACCGTCCGGAAAATTCCGGACATGTCCGGAATTCAGGGTTAAATTTTTCGTCCGGGAAGAATTTGAAAAATGCTTAAATGTCCGGAATCCGGAATTTTACTGCATCTGTAATCGTACTGTGCACACCGCTAATAAAGAACATTGTTATTTCGTACCGTGCACATATTTTTTACTACGAGGTCATGAAAAAGTCATGAACTGTCCGGAATTTTGCTTTTTCAAACATGGTGACCCTAGGTTAGGCCATAATTTTATTCCGATTTTAGTTCTTTTAAGAGTCGGGACTGTCTGTGTAATCCAAGTGGTTATACCCATGTCCATAGGGTTAGTCCCTTTACTTACACAACTTGATGTAGGGTAGGCGAACAAAATTAGTTACCTCGATATTGGTACACATATTTCTGGTCGTCCGTGAATCCGGGTTATTACTATTTACTAATTCAAGTCAACTGATATCACTTTCTTCCGATACAACACTGACTGACAGTGAATTGAACTTCATAAGAAACGCGTTTTCAAAGTGTTTTCGTTTAGCCATTTTGCACTCATCTTACAAATTCCCGTTTTTTTGTCCTTAAATTAAATGAGTGGCTGCAAGGGCAAACTGCGCTAGAATATACAATTTATGACCTGCATGAAGGAATACTAAACGCAGGTTGATACAGACATGACAGGGCGCAATAGCTTGTGACAGCTGTAAAGATGTCGACCATTCAGATAAAGTTTTGCGAAAATGTTCTAGTTATTTTATTGAACTAGAAGAAATATTTGAAGACTTATAATAGCATCAATAATAATTATACAACACATTCTACCAAGAACCAAATCAAGTTACAAGTTCAATCGATTGTTATACAACAAAAGCAGCCACGGCCGTTGCGAGTGTAGTAGAGTTGTTTGAAATTGACAAGGTAATCTCCGAACTACGCCTGGTAAATGGGGAGACGCTACTCTGGGATTTATTAAACAGCTTTCTGCTGTTAACGACCCACGGAGACACGTGACCATACTGATCACTTTAGAAACAATCTTGAAATTCCGTGATATTAACGAATAGACTATCATGTCTGACATCGGGTTTAGGAAATTGTTTTAATCTTTGGATTCCAGACAGAGTTAATAGTTAAAAAAACATGCGGCCTGCGTGCCAGAGTTTGGACCACTTTGGTATAAAATATTCGGGTTGAAAGCCGAAACCTGAGGAGGCAAAAATTGCAGTTTTCGTAATCCCAATTATGATAAGTGCAAGTTATTCGTTCCTAAAGCGGCATTCAGTTGCGGACAGAAGCGTTTGTGCGCAGTTTCTTCGACATGAATTCTGGTTAAGATCAATTCAAGTCAATGGCTTTTATTTTCTTCCGATACAACAATGACTGACAGTAAATCGGACTTCACAAGAAATGCGTTTTCAAAGTGTTTGTTTTTTTGGCCACCAGCTATTTTGAGTCTTTGATGACCCAACATTGACGCATAAACTCGTCTTTCAAATTCCCGTTTTTGTCACCTAATGAAATGAGTGTTTGCAGGGACAGTTTATAGCAGGGTCACCATATTTGAAAAAGCAAAATTCCGTACAGTGCATGACTATTTTCATCTCCTCGTAGTAAAAAATATGCGCACGGTACGAAATAATAATGTTATGTATTAGCAGTGTGCACAGTACGATTACGGATACAGTAAAATTCCGGACATCTGAGCTTTTTTTAAATTCTTCCCGGACGCAAAATTTTACCCTAAATTCCGGACATGAATTCTCCGGACGGTGTGGCAACCCTAGTTTATGGCCTACATGAAGAAATATTAAACGCGGTGTTGATACAGACACCACAGGGCGCAATAGCTTGCGACAGATGCGAAGATGTCGACCATTCACATAACAATTTGAGAAAATGTTCTAGTTAATTTATTGAACTAGAAGAAATATTTAAAGACTTATAATAGCATCAATAATAATTATACAACACATTCTACCAAGAACCAAATCAAGTTACAAGTTCAATCGATTGTTATACAACAAAAGCAGCCCAAACAACAAGCATGCATTGTAGAATTGAACATAAACAAGCATAATGCAAAGCAAAATAACAAAGCTGAAAATAACCTATAGAATACAATGAAACATTACAATATCCCAAACATCAAAGTATACAAAACAATAGGTTGCAGTTCCAGTTGATTTCTAAGATTATTGATAAAATAATGCAAAATTTAATTGATAAAATTCGAATTTTCAATACAAAGGCACTACGAACTGTATCCTTACCTTTTTTTTTTAAATATAAATCATTCATATTTATTAATTAAATGAAGTATTTTATTCATGCAGATACACACTTCTGTATATTCCAACCAAATGTTAGCTTATAACTATATTGTTATTAACAGTTCATTTTTGTTGAGCATGTTTCATCTATGTCTACATGAGTGCATATTCCCCCAAACGATTGTTCGAACAGTAAGTACGATGAAAACTTCAAAAAACAAGTTATTAGCATACAAAGAGGATTACAATCTAGTTATGGAACATATCAGTCAAGAATGATTTCAAGAGCGACATTGTACAAACTAAATTTCAACAACACCGATCAAAATATAACATACCCACTGTTCTGGATTACTGGTATATAATTAGAATATTGCAAAACAAGAACTTAATGTCACGTCACATCTAGGACATCAATTTATGCCCCCATATATGGATATGATTATAAAAATCAAAAAGAATGACAACTGTGAATGGTGAAACCATTAATGAAGGTGGGCATCGGAATAAACGAACAGACTAAAAACAAATCATTCAAGCTGTCTGATGAAATCTTCAACAAGATAACAACAATTCAATAGAATGAATAAGCTCAGATATTTGAAAGATTATTAAGACATTCCAGGGGTAAGCTGAGGTAACAAGTAACAACTTACATGAATTTTCAGAAAACTTCAGTTTTGTACATAAAAATAGAACATAACTATCAAGTCTGGTAATCTTTGGAATAATCCATCAACTGTTGTTTCTAATTAAAAACACGTTATAACTGCTGTCAGAGATATCTGCTTTATATGATGGCAAAATCAAATAACTATTTGAAGAGCTTGAATGAAAATTAGACGGTTACAAATTCCAAATTAAAATATTCAACTGATAAAAGTTAGTTATGTATCTTGATTGCCTTTTCCAGATAACCAAACCTTCCAGTGTGACGTTTTGGTGCTTTGTTTACGTGATCGAGGCCGATCCATGCCTTATTACATATACTGGAAACCTAAACAGTCAGTACAAAGAAATAAGAGAATTAATAAACGAAACCCAAAATGTCCTCAAAAAGTTCCATATGCATATTGATAGGTATAGAATAACCTGTGTTGTGCGAGAGATTTTTGTACATCCTCTCAATGTAGGGAGTGACTCATTTTTTACAAAAATATACTTTGGTAAGAATAAACTGTTGTGTGTATATAGCTTTGTGCATGGGATGTGTGAATACCATTGCCATTCAAGTGAATGTACATAAGATATTTAGCAGAGAAAAATGTTTGATAGAACTTAGAAAAGATAAAGATGCTTTGTAAAGACATAGTTTGGTTGGCATGTTTTGAGATTCTTGCACGAATAATTCTTATATTACGGTCAGGGTGTGCAGAACACGAGATATAAATCTAAATCAGGTCTAAATCTCATGCGGAGATTATTATGCGAGGATTGCTGGACTCCTCGGCGCCGCAGGGTCTTTCACGTAACCGCTGGTCCATTACGGTTAACTCCACCATCATGTTCATGAATCTAAAGCCACTAACTGGCTAACCAATCCCGAATTTGACGAGAAGCTGCGGTTCGCCATATGATTAAGCTGTCTTATCGGCTTTCCTGTCCACCAGGATAAATATGCAAACCCTATCCTATTAGCAGGATATACAAAGCTCACTTTCAATACCAGATGAGGCAAAAATTGGTTCGCACATACATGCATGATGCATCTATATATAACTATGACTCGACTTGATATAAATTCTTAAAATGACCAATAGTGCAGATTTTTACAGGAAGTGTGGAGTAACAGATATAAGAGAAGTGAAGTCATTTATTTCAAGGCTGAAAATTAACTATGGACAAATTATTGCACCAGTGACAAAGTACAGATGATATACCAGATCACCACAGTACTCAGGAATGTTTTACTAATTTACGATTTGATTATTCCTCATTTTTTGGCATTCTGGAATACCAGATTTCAAAAATGCCATATCAATACTTGTATTATCAAAATAGTCTATTTTTAGATATATCGAAGTATCTCCAACAGTTTCCATGCAAAAAAAGAGAATGAACAGCCTACCTGTGTTGTGTAAGAAGGTGAGATCAAATCCTTAACATTAACATGAATATCAGTTTCTTCATTAATTACTCTTGCCTAAACCGAAGTAAAAACATGTTAAATACGAAAACTAAAATTGTTAATATAACAAACAGTAGGACTTCCAGCAATGTAATGACCAAGATGAACCACTGAAACAATATTCAAAAAAGCACAGGACATATTGTTATATGTACAAATAATTCAATCAAAATTCACAGGAATAAAAACTGATGCCATTATTACCTGTCCTTGCATCACGACAGATATTTTCCATTTTTCAAAATCCTTATCGTCAAGAACATTTCGTATTCTTTCTTTTATCTAAATTGAAAATCATTGAGATGAAGGGATAAATGAATAGTGCTCCAAAAAGCTGCATTTCACTCGCAAGTCGATGCTTGCAGGACATGGCTAGCTATTATAAGTATTATTGGCGCTCCAGAAGTGTGTGTACTAATATGGAGGTAACTAATTTTGTTCGCCGACTTTACATCAAATTGTGTAAAGGGACTGGGCAGCGGAGTAAATTCACTTGGCTAACACAGACAGTCCCCGAAATCATAATAGAACTAAAATAAGGAAAATCGGAATAAAACTATAGCCTAACTCTAACCTGGTACCCACACTACGGGAGAACCGAAATATCAATATCACATTTGATATCTACTGCAGTATCAGTAGGCTTAGTGTTTTGAGAAAGTAACAAGCATTCAAGGCTTACTAACCTGCTTATATCTTTCTCCTGTCTTAATCTTGATAAGAAAAGGAACTCCAAAAGTTTGATAAATTTCCTTATTGTAGTGAACGACATTAATCAATATTTCATCTTCGGCAAGCTGTAAAGATATGTGGACATTTATTAAAAGCTGATTTCTACTGTGTTTGAAAGAGTTCGCTTTTTAATGACTCGAGCAGGAATAAGTTTGTCCATAAGGCATAGCAACCTAGGCTAATAGATTCCTCATTCAATTTTTTATGATGCCTATATTGTTATATATATTCCCAACCAAAAAGATAGAAAGCTAGTTAACAATTTGCGCCAGCCAAGCACACTCACTAATCAACTGCGGTGGTTGTCCCAGTTAGCTATAACATTAGCTAATTCAATGATATTTGTGAGGTAACAAGATGTCAAAAGATTTTTCTGGTTATTTTCATGACAAAAAACACCAAATGCGATTTTTGATTAGCCTCCAGCAAATGTGACGTGGGCCACAGATAACGATGCTGTGGCCCACGGGCCCTGGTTTGAACCACCCTAATATATAGTATGACACCAAATTGAAAACACCATTCAAGGAAGTTAGATTAAAAAAGAATTATTATAATCCGTATTGAATATTAATATAAACATAAGTAAATACAATACAGAAATTTCACATTTAATTCAATTTTGTTCATCGCTGAAAATTTAGGAGTTAAAGGCTCCCTAAATAAATAGTTAAACAAAAGCCTAGGAAACAAACCTCTTTCTGGTCAGGGGGAATTTGTTCAATACGATATACTCTAGTTGCAGGATTATGAGCCGCGATTAATTCAGTTGATGACTCAGGACGCATCACAGTGAAAATCTTGTTTCCGACAACTTCCAACAAGCGAACATCCTGTTCTGGAGGCAGTGACATCTGGTAATAAAAGATTCCAGGTCAACAAACATAGTACAATAGTGGAACATAAAAAAGTAGCAAAATGTTTGAGAAATGGCATTCAACTTAAAAAAAAAAAAATTTTCAATGGGAAATAATTCCATAATGGGAATCATATTTTGATGACGATTGAATAAGTGTAGTTAATTGTTTGCGCTGAGGCTGAACTCGCATCTTCACACAAAATAACTGCATTTAATAAATGATAGTTATGACTGCTTGCTACGCACATAGAGGTACACATACATCATTTATCTACTGTATCAGACATTCATGTAATCAATATTGATGAAGATCTCATTGATTTGCATATGCACTTATTTCCAACATAATAGAATCAATAACCCAAACAATTGATAGTTCCATGTTTACAATGTCAGATCTCCCACACAGACACTAATCATGCACACTTGCATTTTTCAATATGACATTATATAATACCTGACGCTTAGACCCTAAGAGGAAATTATTCATCATTTCTGACAGCTCAACTAATGGGCCATTCGTGAAGCTCATTGTATTGTGCTTCAAGAGCACACAACAATCGGTAACAACATTTTGTACCAATCGAGTAAAGGAGAGTGCCAGCAAATTTTACGAGCGCCTTTTGAACTTTGCTGGGATATGAGAACTTGAAATGTTAATGTTAAACGTACATTCCAAATGAACTTCTTGAGTTGTTGGTGCAACTCACAAGACATTAAAATTGATTTCAAACAAACCTTTTTTTTACATTCCATTAACAAAGACGCAACATCACTGTTTTTGTTGATATATAACAATAATTCTTCTTCTTTTAGTTTTGGACTAACATATACACATCTGAATTGACGCTTGTTTTCAAATTCACCAACTTTCATAGACAGCTCTTGATAATATAATTTTTTAGTGAGTTTCCGACTTCCGTAAATCTAACAAATAAAAATGAAGAAATGAGAAGATTCCAAGTATTGAGTCCTGCCTTGAAATGAGTGAGTACTTTGTCAAATTCTTTTAAACCTTTTGCTCACGAAATTCTGCAACATGAAACAATGTCCCAGGTGATTCAAGAGTCTTGCTGGACACTAACAAATATATATTTGTATCTGAGGAAGTCTGACCTTGGTCACACGGAGTGTTACAGAAATATATTTGTGTTAATGTGTAGCAAGACTCTTGAATCTTTAGGATAGTTATCTTCACTCTTGCTGCAGCATCCTTGCATTAGATATGCATATGTGTCCACCACACAAAAGCACAGAAGGATAAGTAGTTAGTCCCGTAGAAACCCAATCAATAGCACATGAAATAATAATATTTGAACTGCCTATCACAATCATGTTGTAAAAAACCTAATATTCTAACAATAAACACAGTAGGTCGGTGTGTAAGCTCCAATCTAAGATATTGTGTATATGTTGTTATCTGTCCCTCAATCATACTTTAAATTCTTGGCATCGAAAAAGATTTCCACATGTTACACAAACACTTTTAGTAATGTATGGGACTCTTAAAACGAACCATGTATTCATCATTAGATTCATTACCTCACTCAGCTAATGCTTTTGTGCTGTCTTTAAATGATCAATTATTAAAATACAGTACACAAGCCAAATTGTGCTCTGACAGAATAACAGAAAGTCAAACAACAAATGTTGTTGCATTGAAGGAATTTACTGGAAAGAGTGCACGGCAAAATCGCTTCAGTGACACATAAACAAAAACTCTAATAACAACTGGCTGTGTGAATTTATACATTGTCTTTGCAATACAAATTGACATTGTAAAATTAAATCTTCATTTATTGCAATACCTGTAATAAATCTTTCAGTTGTCCTTCATAATGTGATCGTATTACTGCCCCTGGAATCTCTCGCACAGTTTGCATTCGGAAAAATTGCAGCATTGTTGGATCGGCATCTATGCGTTTCGCCACTTCGACTGCCATCTGAAGTTGTTAAATTTCAGTTTCAGAAATGCAATGGCTGTTATTCACTTATATGACGATTGAGAACAAAAATTATGTTCACTGTAATTGTCAGCATTAATCATCAAATACTCTAATGCAATGTAGTTTTGAGAGCTTACCTTCAACTTACTTTGAATTATAAATAGACCATGAAAAAGAACATGATACAAAATTTTAATTATATCCACTGGGTACTGTTTATTTCCACGTTTTATAGATAATATAATTTGATCTAAATTCTGTTATACTCAGGGATTCCATACCGTCCTTATTTCTAAGGTTTGTCCTTATTTTTGGCTTATTTTTTGCTTGCGTCCTTATTTTTGGCTTGCGTGTCCTTATTTTGTCTTATTTGGACTTCATAAAGGAAGCTTTGTGTTGTTTGTCTTATCGCCAAAGCTTTATTGCGGCATCATAAAAGCAACACAATCTTATTTGAAACACAAAGAGCAAGGCACAGATAGGCATGAAGCATTGTTAGTGTGGCGACCCTTAGGTTTTGTCGTCGTGGTGTTTTTTTTAGCCTAAATTTAAAAATGAGCAAATGTAAGAACGTTTTTCGTGAGTACGGGAAAAAATACAAAGTTAAACGAAGCTTGAAGGGTGAGTGCTTCGCACACTGTGACGTCTGTAATTGTGACATTAATCTGGAGGCCATAGGAAAGCCAGCTATTTCTGCTCACAATGCAGAAATTTTTCCAGTCGTCCTTATTTTGGGTTCTAGATCGATGGAATCTCTGGGTATACTACATATCAAATATAAAAAAATAATTTCTCCAATTTTCCATTTCAATTCATGATGACTTATTAATACCAAGTAATGTAACTACTGCTTATTAAGTAGTAAATTTATTTTCTTTTGGGCTATATAAGAAATGTGTCATGGACCAGGGTGGCCGATACTGAACAATGAAAAGCAACTGGGGAGGCATGGCCAAAGAGGTAAATTTTTTCTCAAGGATTTTAAAACTATATTTCCAAAAATGTTATGTTAATAAATACTTCTTAATTAAATCATGATCAACAAGTAACATCAATGCATATTATACAGATTGAATTTCATAACATAAAAATTTAAACTTATCTTTGAACTTAATTTTATCAGGTTTTCTAATATGTCAATTGCACATATTACATATTTTCCAGTGCGATTCTAAATTGAGAAAGAACTATATCCAATATAAATAATTAAAAGTAAGCGGTTATATAAGTTTTGCAGAAGACTCCTGAGGCAACAAAAAGCACGGAGATTATTTTCGTAATCTTCGCAAATTTACGAACCTGATTGTATGTCATTTTGTGACTCAAAGAAACAAGAAATCCTGGATCACTCGGATCATTTTTGTTGCAGAATATAACTTCTACTCTATGATATAAATCTCGATAAAAAGCCTTTGCTGTTGGTAATGAGGAATTATCATTATCTGGTGAATCAACCTGAACATAAAATTTGAATGTAATCAATTATTTGAGATGTAAATGTAAAACATACAGGGATTCGCACCTATCAAAAATTTACCAGTCCCATCTACGTATTATAGTATTGGAAACTAATTGAGTTTATTGCAATCACATAGACAAAGCCTGTGAGTATAATATCTAGTTATCATCATATTTACTTTCATCAAGACATTTCCTCCATTTAGCGAATGATAAATATATCAACTGATTATACAAGGCATCTAGTTTGAATTCAAGTTCGGTAATTTCAGCTCACTTGAAAAACAATAATATTTCCATCCATTAATTTATCCATAGCTTCACCCAAATTCAGTGATTTATCTTTTATAGGTGAACAATGCGAAGGTTGGATTTCCTCGAAAAGAAGTAACGGTGTGTCAGGAAGCAATCCACCCCTTTTTCGCAGCTCAACTTCAAGATCGCCCATTTTTGTGCCGGATATAGGAACAGTCAAATGACCACAATACGCAATGCACTTGTATGTAGGCAGGTACATTTTAGCAAAAAGCAGTACATCTCCATCTTTATCAAAGGGGGGCAAGGCAGTTGCATCTGAATCGCTGTGTAAGACTTCAAGCCATAAATTCCAAGGTACTTCTCCATCAGCTATTTCAAATAATGGTTTAGTACGAGCCTGAAAACAAGAATCAACAGATGAAGTAGTGTTGTGATGTCAAAAGTTTACGAATTTAAAAAAAACTCCCTGCTTATAATCCAGATAAAAATACAAGGTATTTCAAGTAACTTTTAAAAATCAATGTATTCGAATGAAAAAATGTATTCAAAAATGACAGGAGCCAGTTAATAAGTTCCAACAGGAAAACAGCTTTTCTTGATTTTTCAAACAGTTGAGAAATTTACTACCAGAAGCACTTGAATTTTCATGGCCCCATATTTTTGAATAGCTCGAAGATGTTGGTAGTAGAGTATCCAAACATTAAATATACATAAATAATCCAGTCAAATAATACGTTCAATCAACCTCCTGCTCATCCAGAGTGCATGGTCTCAAGGTACTGTTTTGTCTTTGAGTAAGAGGCCAAATTCTGATGTGAGATCTGGGATAACCAAACGAGTCTGCTAGTGTATCCATGAATTGATCATAACTCTGTTGGCGTCGAGCACGAAATGTTCTGTCAGAATATAAACCAATGATGAATAAAAAGACAGCACTGATACATTTTCATTTAATTATTAAACGACTAGCAATAGTGTTGGGAAATGCTTATTTCCCTACTCAGTCTCCCAATCAAACTGCCGATAAAAAAACTAGGAAGTCACTCTTGGATTGTGAGAGGTACTATACACTCCCACTCCTCTTACACAAAATTCCACAATAATTCAAACTTTATGAAACTCAAACTCAGTCATCTTCTTCGACACAATGAATAAAAAAAATAAAATTCATAGCCTACTTCATTGATTATCCATACATAAGTACACATTGTTTGACAAAAATTCATTACATTTAATTGATTAATTACCTTGTTAAGAAAGGATGTTCGACATCAAATAAATCTTCTGCTTGGTGACCCCAAAACTGATCTTCAGTTATTACATTTACTGTCATGTATAAATGTGCTTCCGCCCTTCAAGTATACCAAACAGTTAATTAATAAACATCTACTTCGGTAATTACTTTTTAAAATAAAACAAAATATTGATAATAGATTAAACCAATTTTCTTGAACATCAGGTTTCCCTGCCTTGCAGGGTTATTTTAATTCGATTGAAAATTTTCTACGAAGTGTCCAACTCTAACAGCAGGCAAGAACCACTGCGACACGGTTTAAAGCCTCAAGCAGGTAACTTTAGTTTCAATTTAGTTTCCTGAAGATATATTTAGGTCAAAGTTTTGCAATGAATACTGCAAGTTGAACTTTTTAGTCTAAGCCGACCAAATCTAACAATGGTAGATTCTAATTTGGTAAACATAGCTTTACACAAACCTCTCTTTTCTTCGATAAGCTTCCACTTCTCTTTCATCACTTAATCTGTTTACTAGGTTTTCAGGAACATCTTTGTCAGAAATCGGACACAAAACCTCAGATAGCTTGTTTTCTCGAATGTATACCAGCATGTATCTGAGTGTGAAACAATGCTCATAGTCAAGATATAACTTTATTACCAAACTTCGACAGAAGCTCATCACAGAACAGAATCACTCTTTTGCAGATAAAAATATACATGAACATTTAACAGAATCACTCTTTTGCAGATAAAAATACACATGAACATTTTCAAGTCTGTTGTAGTATTTCCACAGAAAACTAGAAGAAGTCCAGTGCTGCATGAAAGCACACCACAGTGTGAGTCTATCATATTTAGCCAGTTAGGCCTAAAAAAAATTCATTCCCAATAGCAAGTTCCTTTAATGAGGAATAAAGTCCAAGCAAATACACACAAAAGCAAACATGCTGATTCTGAAGAACAAAGAATGGTCCATATAGAGATCTTAAATTCCAGTATGTGGTAGTGTATTTGAGAGAACGTCACCCAGTCTTCTTTATAGTATTTGTGATTGATAAATATAGGATAGGACTTACATATTTATCCCTGGAAGAGAGAAAAGCCGATAAGACGGCTTAACCATATATGGTGAACCACGGCCTCGGCTATGTGAATCAACGACCTCAAATTGCATTCCACCTCCAGTGGAGAAGTCATGTTATGACATAATATTGAGTTGTGATTCGTACAAAACAGGTAACACTAATTAATACCAGCTGATCTCATTAACTTGAGATTTTCAATATGAATTGGCCTAATCGTTAAATCCCTTTGTTCCCATGTTATAGGAATGAACGATTGGAAAAGTTAATTTCCAAATAATGACCCAATAGAAGAATCGCTTCTTATAGACATTTTGAACACATCTATATTATCTGGTCTGGTCTATTGATCTTATACGAAAATAAAATACAATTGAAACACGCAGGTTGATCTGGCGGTCTCAGTATGTGGTTAGTACATAGTTGAAGTTGAAGGTATGTTTTCAAAGTTCATAAAAAAGAGACCAAATGATTATCTAACCAAATTGTTATCAATAACTTTTACAAATTATCTGCGCTATTAGGCAGGCTTTTGACAAAGTTCAAAATTTTCTAAATCATATTAGATAAATGAATATTGTCGACATTTATTCCTAACAAAACGTTGCATCATTGTGTTTCCCCCGAGATATTTGGTAGCGAACTGAGATAATCAACGCTTTGTTTTGAGCACATCTCAGGCTGTTTCTACAAATAACCTTATTTTGAATTATCTTTTAATCTTACCAGGACAAAAAAAGGATGCTTGCATTGATAGCCAGTTGTAATTGGATGGCACGCATAACATATCGAAATGAGAGAACACTGTACACAGATAACACACTAAAATTTGAAACTAAACATTTCATGGTAAACCATGTCTCTCTTACAATTGCTGCTACTAAAACACAGGCAGACACACTTTGCATGAAGATATTTAGAGAGTCTCAGTAATTTTAATTAAGTTTCATTGTTTTGCGGTGACATGACCTTGGTCGCTAGACACGTTACCTTCTTAAAGGATTTTCACATGCAAACTAGGAGGAAATTATGTGTGTTACCTTGTTACAAAGAGATTCATTATTAATAAACAGGTTGTCCACTACTTCCAGTGATGTTTTTGCGCAATTTGTATTTTGATATGCAATTTTTTAAGACACCATTACAATTTGTTCGACTGAAAGATTTTTATAGTCTAGGCTTCCCCATGAGGACACAACCCAAAATGAGGAAGGCCATAAAAACGAGTTGCTCCAAGCACCTTCAAGTATACTCATCATCAACCACAATTTGCTGCAACCATTTCTTAATTCGAAACAGTTTTGAACAGTTTCAACTCAAGTTCGAATACACTTACATAGGATTGCTCAAAAGTAGGTTAACAGTTAATAATTCAAACCGCAACCCAGACAAGTCTGCGTAATACAGTTGTCAGCTTAGGTAGTGTAGGAAAATAACCCGTTCCAAAATTTGTCTGCATCTGCAAAACTCTGTTGGATAAAAGTAATAGAAACAGTGAAAAATGTAACAGCTGTCATACTTACGCATTGGTTGAATGCCTCCCAATAAAACTTTCCTCATCTCGTCCACCAAAACTACCATGAAAAGCTTCTTTCTTTGTACATCTTGATACAACATCATCGTCAAACTTACACCACTTGCCATCTCCGACAGGATTCAAATAAGCAACATAGTGACCGCCATGATTATCACCACTGCAATAAAATCAAAGTTGCAATTACTTTTTGATACATACTAAGCTCTGTAGCGGGGTATATTTTACAGTTCCGAGACATAAACTTGCCTATATCTGTCAAGGCTCAAGGGTTTTAAAAAAATCCATAAACCTTTCACCTCTGACTTATTATGAAAAATTTCTTAGAGATGCTAAAAATTTATGAAGCAAAATTTTTCATATTTCCAATATTTTAAATCCCAATCACCAAAATAAGTTACCTGTGAACAAGAACAGCATGCAGGATATAAGTTGCTTTGTCAGCTGAGTCTGGTACTTCTAAAAATTCATCCAATTCAAGTTTCTCAAAAAATTCATACCGATCATTTATTTTAATGTTCATATCTGTTATCGGATCATAGTGAAATCTGAGTAACTGAAGATGAAGTACAGGTGGGAAGGTTTTAAAGGTGACACCCTTCTCTGCTTCTTGCATACCATTTTCGCCAGCATCAAATTTATTATCACCATCGAGTGTCTCTGGCTTGACATATTCTCTCAATGATTCCAAAATATTTTTATGACCTTTGACACTGAGTTGAATATCGTAAAAAGACTCCTCTCTACTCGAGACATAATTGACAAACTTGCATTTGACATATGATGTCATTGTGCCTCGAAAAAGTCCAGGAATTGTTCCCTCGACACATGTTCCCTTCATTTTGCTCTCTAAATTATCGATGAGCACACGACAGAACTCCTGCACATCGTGTTGCATGAATGAATCTAACGTTTCCCAACCGAATGACTTAGTCAACTTTTTAGTTCCAACTGGCTTGTCACTGTGCTGGAGATCATAAAATACCCGCTGCAAAGCTAATGACACACTTTTCATAGAATCGTCACTTTCTGTCGGCATTAGGTAAACTGCCTTTCGCAGTTTGGATGTAAAGAAGAGTGTTTGCAAAACACTATTCATATAGCAAGTAGCACCCTGATTTTTTAAACCAATATACCCAGTCAGCTTTCGACTGTCCCAAGCCACACCATGTGGAGCATCTGCAAAGCAGTGGACTTCGAAAGTAAGACTTTTTTCGGGAGTTATGAATCCTTTTTCAGGGTTAATCAAATCTGACCATGGCAGGAAATTGCTGAATCCCCAGTCATTTTCTTTACAATGAAATATATGACTAATTTTCTTCTCAAGCATTTCACCTCCTTTCTTAGCTGGCAGGATGCGTAGTTCTGCAGCACCATGACAAGACCAAGAGCTTGAGTCGTTATCAGCATTACATTGAAGAAAATATCCTAAACTTTTTGCACCAGGAGTTCGATCTGGATGGCTGCGAGGCATGATTAATATCTTCCAAGGCAATCCGCGAATAAAAGTTTTTGGACTCGTAACAGACTCAGAAAGCTTATGAACATTTGGAACTGAAAAACTAAACGTCGCTTCTGATTTACAGAATCCAAATTCATCATCAGTATCCTCAATGCTTTCTTTGTCATCAGCAATTTCGATATCGTTCTCTGATATGCTTCCATTTCCAATCATTTCTCCTCCATTTTCAGTGACTTGAGGAACAACATCTTCAGTTTCCATTTTCTCAACTTCATCCACAACAGCATCCAAGCCTACATTTCCTGCTGACTGTCTCAGGCATGGCTCTGTATTGTTTTGTGAAACAGGATCAGGCATCTGTCCAGTATTTTCTTCCATAACAATTTCAGATATGAGGCTCGTTCGACTTGAAGTATCAAACTGCGGCTGTGGTGTCGGGTCTGTTGGAACAGACACCTTGCTGTGTTTACTCACTATGCGCCCAATGACTGTTCTAGATAGAAAAAATCAGGGCGAGCGACAAAAGATGCTTTTAGAAATCAAGTTCTTATTTTCATGCTGAAAAATTATCAAATTAGTTATTACCTTAGTCCTGTAGTCTCAGTTTGAAACTATGGCTCTGAATCCAAAAACCACACAATAAATACATGTCATATATTTTGTTCTACACTCGCCTTTGGAGTTGTTTAAAACTAATAATATATATTTTGTGGATTTACAAACCTACTGACCTAGCACATTTAGGCATAGTCAGAGTTCACGAGTTGGGGGGTGAGGCTACAGGGTTAAGGTATTACCAGCATGAGGTAAACAGACTTTTTGCGCTGCGGGGTTTTCTGTCTACAAGATGGTTCGAGTTATGACATTGTTTAACATAATAATATATAACGTTATCATAGACTATACATGGGGAATTATGAGATATTCAAACATTGTGAATGTTGTATCTGGTGACAAAGGTCAGCCATTCAACAGTACATGCCGCAGTATATTGTGGCGAATGGCGATGAGTCAAGCAATCAATCCTCTTGCACAAAAGGGTGTAATACAGTAATAATAGTTCCATAATTTGAAGCCAAGATTTCCAAACACATTCAGTTATAAAGTATCGCAAAAATCGAGAACGCTTACGACTTCCTGTTGAAAGCCTCAAGTCGTCAGAGTTTATTGATGTTATATCATCTCAACATAAAATCACAGTTTGGCACTATTCCATGTTTTAAAAAACTTAAATAGTCTACTGACATATGCCAGTCGGATACGGCACCTACTGCAGTACTGACCTGGGATAGGACTTACATATTTATCCAGAGGATAGGACTGGCATATTTCTGTGTTTATCCCAAGGACTGAAGGATAGGACTCGAATACAGTAACGCAGTACAGGTACTGACATATTTATCCCAAGGATAGGTTTGACATATTTATAGGACTGACATAGCCTATTTATCCCAATAATAGGACTCACATATTTACCCCAAGAATACTGGAATAAGACTCGCATTCCAGCATAGCCTACAGACATATTTAACCCAAGGACAGCGAGGATGGGTCCCACATATTTGTGTATTTATACCAAGGATAGGTATAACTGTATAAGGGTCTCGTGTAGTTTCATAGTCAGGTGGGGGTTAGGTTTGATACATGAAAAAATTGTCAAGCTACGCCCACTAAAAGTATGTTAGGTACGAAACTACATGAGACCCGGATATAACTCACATATTTCTCTCAATGATAATGCTGTAATGGAATAGGACTTACGGTACATATTTATCCCAGGGATCTGACTCGCATATTTATCCCGAGAAAGAGGGAAGCCAACAAGACGGCTTAATCATATGACGAACCACGGTTACGGCAATAAACAAAAATATAACTACATCGGGCGTCACAAACTCATAATACTGCATTATGATGATACAGCACATATAGATCTGTAGATATCAAAAATTGCGAATCGGTCAGCTTTTACTCTGTGGATATATATATTTTCTTTAGTCTCAAATCAGTCTTTTGGGGAAGATTGATAAAGTCTAATCCTAGTCCTAACACATATCCGAGACGTAGCATTGTTGTTGTCGCTGAAAGGCTGTTACTGTAACTTCTGGTGTCTAAATTGGTCTCTGATTGAGCGAATTAGATAAGTATCTGACTCCAAAACAGAATATATAGTAGGTTACGTGTTCAAATTGAGATATCTGTTAATTTTATATAACAGTAAGGATCTGACCAATTTGCCTGTAAAGATTTTTATTTCCACGGATAATATATCACAATAAATTTACTTACAATAAAACACACTCACAATCGTGAAAACCAAGTCGGTGATGAATTAGCATTGTTGTATAGAACGAATTGAAATAGAAAAGCCGGGCTGTATCGAACGAATAGAAAAGCCGGTTGCTGTATCGAACGAATAGAAAAGCCGGTTGCTGTATCGAACGAATTGAAATAGAAAAGCCGGTTGCTGTATCGAACGAATTGAAGTAGAAAAGCCCGGCAAACCACGATCAAAATGTCTATTTAAACGGTAACATCTTTTTCATCTCGCTCGCCAAAAACGGTACCTTTCTTTATTATCCAAAAATCTCGTTTCCCACGGAGCAATTTTTGCTCATCTCTAGAATGTTCGGTACCCTTCTTACAATAATTACACTTGTTTATAGGTTACCTGACATGGGAAATATCCATTTTCTCATACACGAGAAAGATCTAGACTCAATATTTCGAATGATCTAGAAAGATCTCTTCAATATTTCGGTTGTTTATGGGTCACCCGACATGGGAAAATATCCATTTTCTCATACACGAGAAAGACTAGAAAGATCTCTTCAATATTTCGATTACGTCAATTATTATATAGAATTTGACTTCCATTATCCAAATTATTGGTTAATTTGTTACACATTCCTGGCACCACAAGTGAAATATTTTAAAAGCACATATTAAAAATTAACCGATAATTGTAGAAATATAAGAATGAAATCGAAATTATCATGAAAGTAATCAAATCTCGTAACTTTTGAAGATGGCAATTTGAAATGTCAAAGTAATTTGTTTGAAAACTGTCGGATGAAGAGCAAAACATCCACTTCGAAGAGCAAGAAAAAATGGTCGAGTGTAATTAATCAATAAGACATGAGACTCAGAAACGACAAGACAAATTCCTTAATTTTGGTTATTTAAAATGGCAATTGAAAGATTTATATACAAGAAGAAAAACATGAAATTTGAGCACTAATTATACATGCAAGAATTAAAAACATACAACTTAAGAACTCATTGTAGCCCCATTTATTATGATTCTGACTTGGGGTCTTTTCAAATTATAAGGATGAGACATTTGTATTGTGAAAGGCATTTGAATTGTGCAATTCAGTGAAACAGTAATGGTATTATTATACCTTCTTCTCACCTACACGACTTTCAAAATTGTGAGCACTTGTTTAATGTACGATTTACTATTAGATAAATTAGGCGATAATGACTTTAAAAAATGAAGAAAAGATGGTTTATTGATTCCCAAAAACAAAAAAAATCTTACAATATGACTGTATTGTAGGTCTTTACGTTATCAGTGTTGCAACTAGGTAGGTCTTTACGTTTCAGTGATTGCAACTAGTATTGTTACTACTCATTCTACATTTAATTGTCTGTACCATTTGCAATAAAAATGGGGGGGGGGAAATTTAGATGTAAAACACAATAATTTGTCATGAAATTTGAAAAATACAACAAATAGACGAGCGTTGTAAAACCAATAAAAGAATGCAACAATAAAATTAATTTTGAGACATCGGTACCGTGATATTTCCTATTAATCTTATAAATTCAATAAACTGCAGAAAGAATTAAGATAACTTTTGTGAAAACTTTGTGCACTTTATTTGGAGATAAAACTTGGTGGAGAAAACAAAAAAATGATTGGAGTACTCCATTTGGGGAATCATTGGTTGAAAAAAATGATTGAGGGAAAAAAAATAAGGCTCAAAAAACTTGTGAGCCTTTGGATCCGAAAAAAAAAATGTTAAAAAAAGGTATTTATTTTCTTGATTATAATTTCTTGATTACGTATGACACAGTAAACCAACGAAAAAATAAATCGATAAACTGTCGAAAAATAGACGTTGAATTGACGAAAAATTGCCACTCCATTTGGTGGAAATTGGGCACTTCAATATTTTCTTGGTGTTTAGATCAAATCATAAGCATAGTTGGCTGCTCGACTGAGCTTCTTTCTCTGTTACGTGTCAATGTTTGCGCGTTACCAGCTTGACTTTTTCATCTGAAAAAGATCCTTTAGACCCCATTTGGTCATCCTCATGGGTGCCTCTGGGCGCATTGTTACAATTTTTGACCTAGTTGGTCTGTATTTACCCATGTCGGGTTGAAATAGCGCATTGTTGCAATTTTGCGACCTAGTTGGTCTATATTTGCCCCATGTCGAGCTGAAATAGCGCATTGATGCAATTTTGCAACCTAGTTGGTCTATATTTGCCCCATGTCGGGTTGAAGTAGCGCATTTTTTTTTGTTTTGTTATGCCAGCTTCGGGCTTTTTCGGAGAATATAACGTATTTCGTCTAATTTTTGTTAAGTCGAGCGTGGAGTTCATTCAATCACTGAATTTACTTTCAAGGGCATTTTAGTAATAACGAAATCTATCCAATCAAAAAGGGGTTTGTTAATTCCCGCCAAGCTTTCAGTTATTATAAATCTCTCGAAAGTCATTTAAAGTTTAAACATTCAAATTCTTCTACCATTTTCATCAAAATTGAAAGCCAAATTGTAACATCATATATATACAAATGGAAAAGAATATTTATATCTTAGAAATAGAGTAAATATGAAAAAAAAAACATAAAATTAAACAAAATGATGAATCACGTTTCTAAACATGTCTATTAGGTAGGGATTCGCACTGGTATCTTTATTATTCGGAATAGAGCTGGTTTCATTTTCATTGAAGAAAAACTTTGTCAATGCACTTTATTAATTATTTCGTATTTAACTGAATTAGTTTCAGAAATATTCAAATCTTGAAGAGTTGAAGTTGAGTTAGTGCTGTCTGATCGTAGGAGGTCCTGGTCCAGATTCCTCGTTTTGAGTCAAAAATCTACCTTGTTCTGGCCTTCTTGACTGCTTAATAAATTGACATACCGCCAAAGACTGCAATTTGGTTGGTTGCTTGATTCCTGAAATGCTGACGTATTGTCCATTGACTCGATTAGTGATGAATTTCTTTTCCATTTTGATTGACGAAATTCCAACTTCTGCTGTCTTTGCTTTCTAATTGAGCGAATTAGATAAGTATCTGACTCCAAAACAGAATATATAGTAGGTTACGTGTTCAAATTGAGATATCTGTTAATTTTATATAACAGTAAGGATCTGACCAATTTGCCTGTAAAGATTTTTATTTCCACGGATAATATATCACAATAAATTTACTTACAATAAAACACACTCACAATCGTGAAAACCAAGTCGGTGATGAATTAGCATTGTTGTATAGAACGAATTGAAATAGAAAAGCCGGGCTGTATCGAACGAATAGAAAAGCCGGTTGCTGTATCGAA